GCATAATTCCTTCCTCGTCATATACTCGTAATAAATTATTATTTAACACTGGCTTTAGTCAAATTCTTTTTATTATATTAAAGGCAGCACCTACAGAGAGCAAACACACTGCAGTTTGTTGTCTCAATCAGCTTTTTAAACCCTTAGCAAATTAAAAAGGAATATATTTTATAAGATAAACTAAATTAAATAATGCCGTAATGCATACATGTTTTCTTTTTAAATATTTTTTAAAACAAATCAATTAAATTGATTACTGTCGAAAAACTGCTCAACTGTTAAAAAAAGAAGTTTATCTTTAAAAAGTACATTTTTTACATCACCAGTCAACTTATTGAACAAAGTTTTATAATTAAATTAAATGTGTATATTCCCTGCACAGACATGGACTTGACCTTTAAGAAAACACTCCAGAAAAAAACCAACCACTCCATATTTTCGTCTGGTTCTATTAAATTGATATTCCCACAGTATTTATTTAAAGGAGAGACAATCGCAATTGATCTGATTTCAAGCAGTAATTTCGTTGATGGCGAGCGTCAATCATGTCTCATTATGAAGCATTATTGGCTCGCTTTACCTCGACAGGGAGTGTTAAAGTCAGCTCTGCACGAAATTTCACTTTTACCTCTCTGCTGGTGCAAAATAATGTTTGAGCAGCACAACAGAGAGAGTTTGTGATGAAATTGTCCCGTTCTTGCTTTTCATCATATGATCATCTGGAACATCAATACTGCGCATGCCTTGTGTCCACCATTTTGTGATGAGAACTTTATTGCACATGCTCCCATTTTATGAACTTGAGCAGAACACATGCTTTAAAGTCTGAGGCCTTGAAATCTTTTTTTTTTTTTGTTGTTGTTGTTTTTTTTTGATTGATCCTGTTTAATTAGGAAGTTCCTCTCATTGAAATTATTACTCAGATTATTTTCAGATCCACAGATGATGCACATCCTGCTAATGCAAATCAAATTTGTCATGGCCAGGAGCGATCATTTATTCATGTTTGTCCAGACAACAATTATTTTTTCAAGCTGTGCTGCACCTTGCTGTGATACTCCTCTTTCCTCGTCTGCGTGTCAGACAGAGAGCACAAAGTGGTGGTCACAGTCGGCTGCCTGAGGTGACTGCTGGGGTCAAAGGCCGGGTTGTGTTAATAAGACGTGATGTGCTGCCCTGGGACCTCAGTCCCATGAGGGATAACCCCCTAATCGGCATTAGTTAATGTGTTAGTAATCTTTACCTTCTTAAAGCAAACAGCAGTGCAGCATTCAATGGGCCCGCTTGGCCTCCCGTGTAACGCTTTTGACCTAGGGGTCATGGCCTTTGTTCCCGGCTCGATGGGGAGTGCCCTCAAAGGTCTCGGGTGTAATAGAGAAGTTGTTTAGACACGTGCGGGGCTTAAGCAAGACCACCTCATAGACTCTGCTCCTGCTCCTGGAGAGTATAAAGTCTTCCCTCGTAGTGTAGTGTAGGCACACTTTTGTGGTTAGCTTTCATCCCACTTGAATAAGTCCATTAGAATATATATGTGTTTTATGTGCCACATATCATGTCTAGTGTGTTGACGCAGTGGTGGTTGCTGACCAAGCGCAGAACCGCCCCCCCCCCAACCTCCTAATGCCTCCTTGATGTTTGTAAATGACTAAGTGCAAATATTGTTTGTCTTTGCAGATCCCCTGCCCACTGCAATTTCATGTTCCCCCAGCTCTCCTCACTGTTTCCTGCAGACACAGAAAGAAAGCTCTAGAAAAAAAGCATCTTTTATTGTGTGTCCTCGTCCTGTCCCTTTATCTGAACTTTTATTTTGTAAAGTTCAAGTGTTTGCCCATGACTGACACTTAAATGTGTGTTCGACGTGTTCGTGACTGCAGCATTCATTCTGTGTGAGGCTGAATCAGTGTGAGGCTGTGAGTTCACTCAAGGCCCTGACACCTAAATGATCAATTTGGGATAATAAATCTAAAAAGTATTATTTTACAGAAGCTGGATACAAATGCACAACATTTATATTGCCCTTTAATTTTGATGATTTTAGACACCTTCATTCCACTGTGTAATATTGTCTTTTTTGTGTGTGTTTTTATAAGATACAAAACAGAGAAATTTTAATGTTACAAAGTTCAGTAGTCGATGTAGTAGTAGTAGATGCTTAATACAAAATCAACCAAAAAAATTAGCACTTTACAGAGCACATTTTTGTCTCTAAAATGTTCGTCAAATGGTGTCGGGCAGAGTCCATAACATGGCGCCGTCTGCCATTTTGTTTCACATCGTGTCATCAATTGGCCTGATTGACTGATTCTGAATCACACAGATGTTGCAGCCATGCACTCCACATGAAAAGCTGTTGCTTCTCTCTGCTTTAATGTACGTAAATCAAAGAGCTGTGACAATTTTGCGTCAGGGTTAAGATTCTAAAAAGGTTGGTTTTATTTAATAATTTAATCAGAAAAAAATAGAAGTGTAAAAAGACGTAAAAAGAACAAAGGTCTGCACAGTGCATTTCTTAAGAAACAGGTTTATTATAATCTGTTAGAAAGTCTGCAACAGTTGTTAAAATGTTGTTAATTATGACTGCGAAATTAAAATATGATCAATAATTTCAAAATGCAACAGAGGCACAGTGTCGAGCAGCACAGTGCTGAGAGCTGGGAGGTGACCCAACACCAGAGCTGTATCCTCGAATGAACTTTATGCCATGCAAAGTGCAGTTTTGCACACTAAGCATAAAAACACAAAGTGTGTGCCACTCTAAAACAGCTAATGCTCAGAGCTCTAACATGTCCTGATTTATGATCCAATACAGTCTCTCAACATATGCACATTACAGCTTTATACATCGAGACCATAATGAAGTCATGGGTTTCTCAATTGGTCCAAACGCATGGCGAGATGTGACGTACAGCTGCACTCCTTCTAATAGGATTCTATAGCTCGTGCCAGTGTAGATGCCTGAACCGAGCTCGTATCTCATTTAGGGACGGGGCACGGAGAGCCAGTAAATTGCAGTTCAGCCCTCTCTGCACAAAGTAAGAGTAAATAACACTCGCATTTTCTGTCTGCACATCCACCTGTGTTTTTACTGAAACCTGTGGAGTGAGGAGAAGTGCAGACGGGAGGATAGTTTGTGTGGAGAATCCAGCCTCTGTGCTGCTGTAGTGAGGAAGAGAGCCGGCGAGGAACGGGGTGGTGGCCGTGCTATGAAAGCAGCCCTCACAAACTGTGCAGCCTGAAGCAGTAGCAGCCATGTTAGACAAATCTGCGTGAGCTTGAGCCCCACTAATAACGCAGTGCCCTCCAAAACCAACAGAAAGTTTTCACAGAGTAAAAGTAAGAAAAGTTTCACCCCCACCTTTTTTCTCTCTCATTGTCTCTGCTAGGCATGTAGTCCCCTCTTGCCCTCTTTAACTCTCAGCAGTTTATAAGGCAGAAATGCAATCAGAATAGTTCCTCAGTAACAGACACACTTTACATATCTCCTTCCTCCTTTTCTTTCCTTATAGAGCTCCTGTAGTTCAAGGCCGAGGGGAAAAAGTTGAAGCCACGAGCTCTGCTTTTGCAGTTTTTAGAACCAGAGCCAAAAGAGGCAGGAAGTTGTTGTACAATAGCGTTACAGTAATCTGCCACAAATGGAAAAAGCCAAATGCTGATCACCGAGTAGAGAAGGTGGCAGAACAGAGGCAGAAAGAGGGAGGGAGGGAGGGACAGAAAGGGAGAGAAAGAGAGCTAGCGTGTGTGAGAGAGACAGACGTTACAGCAAAGAATAATCAATACAATCTAAGATGGTGGAAACAGCCATGCTGTTTGGGTCTCTCCCTCTGGTTAACTCTCTGGCTCGCTTCGTGTGAATCAGTGCACGGATTCGGTTAGGACAAACTGTTTAGACCATCTTATTTTCTGTTTTATCCCTCCTCTATTTTAAACAGGAGGAATCGGCATCTCTGGGGTGGGGTGGGGTGGGGTGAGGTGGGGTGAGGTGGGGGGGGGTTCTCGAAATTTCCTCCGAACTGTTGAATGCATTTTACCAGGCAAGTGGCAGCTGTTTTTCCTCGAGGAAAAGCAGCGAAGTCTCACCCAAAAATGCTTATCAGCCTTTTGACTTTGTGCCAAAATAGCTGCAAGGGTTCAGCTGCAGCGTTCAGCTCGCTTTGTGACAGAGCCGGGGCAAGGAGGAGGGTCCTAGCCCAGCGTTCTTTGCCACATGTTACTGAAATAAACACTGGGGAAGCTTATCTTTTTCCTGTGTGTATGTGAGTGTGTGTGTGTGTGTGTGTGTGTGTGTGTGTGTGTGCGACTGGTCTATTCTGTGCATTCACGCCAGTCATTGTGGCATGCTAAAGAGTTAATGCACTCCGTGAGTGTGTGCTCCTTTTCAGAGTGTGCTCCCAAGACTGTTGCAGCGACAAGAGCCCCCACTACAGTAAGAGATAAGGTTAATAATTCAACCGGCTCTCAAAAGTGTTGCATATTTCAAGGATCCTTCAGCAGAGCGGTCCGTTGTGAATGACTGTGGATTCTCTTTTTCTTCGCTTTTCTTTTCACTAGTTGATATAGTAGCTGAGGTACTGTATAGTGTATCCCAGTATGGCGTGTAAGTGTGTGCACTGCGTCTGCGCACTGCTGGAGGAGTGGATTTCTGTGTCATTCTTCCTCCTCCACCCCTCCCACATTTAGTGCTTTCCACCCTCCCACTCTCCCTCTCTCTCTCTCTCTTTCCTTCTGTGTCTCCGTCTCCCACCCATCTTATGCTCCCTCCCTCCTTCTCCCCCCTGTCTCCGGTGCAAATACAGTTCCTTGCCGTGTTGGACATGTGATGAAAAAGTGACTGGTTCGCGCGCTCCGCCGCACCTCCTATTTCATCATCAGCGGAGCATTTCTCCCCTTCACTGTGCGCTCGCTGTCTCCTCCTCTCTTCCTCTCTCTCTCTCTCTCTCTCTCTACCTCACTTCTTTTTCTCTCTCTGTTTCGCCTGCTCCCCTCTTTCTGCTCCAGCCACACGCAAGGGGGAGACTTAAGCTCTGCGAGGGGAAAAAAAAAAAAGTCTGCTGCTATTTCTACAGTCAGGGCCTCCCCACAGCCCGCCCTTCCATAGACGGAGCTTTTTTTTTCACTCACTACTAGCTGGATTTTAACCCTCTGCCTCCAACTAGCTGCACAGCAGCTCTGCAAAACCTGGCAACAAGTTGCTTTTAGGGGCCTTTTCGCACTTTTGGCGCATTGATTTTTGCACCACTTTGGATTTGGCCGCTGTTTTTTCCATTCTTTTGTATTTTGTTTCCTAAAAATGTGCCGCGTCTTGATATTTTTTTCCTCCGCTGATGGGTTTCTAGTAGTATTTATTTAGTTTCTCCCTTTTTGGATGGAAATTCGTCAAGGTGGTGTTTCGCCATGTGATGGGCCTTGTTCCACCTGGAGTGTCGGGGCGCCATTTCTGACGGGTAACCTACTCGGGGTGGGCTTGTGGTCTGGATGACCACTGTGGATGTCAAGCAGAGAGTGTGACCAGTATCTGAGCACGGTACACATCTGTGTTTAAAAAGACATGTCCTTCATCAATGACTGCTGTGAAGTACCTCACCTCCTTCGTCTTTACTCTCTGTCTCTCCTTCTATTTCCTTCCCATGTCCTCTCACTCCCTCTGTGTGTGTGTGTCTGTCTCTCGCTCCCCCCTTGTTCTCTCTCTTTCACACCGACTTGCTCTCCTAACAGGAGAATGAGTGGTGTGCTGAGCCGGATCTCTTTCTGGGACAGGTGCCAACTGCAAACAAAAGACATTAAAAGGCAATAAGAGAAAAAAATGTAGTAATTGCGAAATTTCAAATTGTTGCAGCGAAATGTCAGAAGTAGGCCTGCATGTCGTGTTTCTACAGGGCGACTTCGCGATATTATTACATGTTGTTGTATGGTATAAAAACTGATTTTCGCGAGCAAGGCTGCTGGTAAAGCAGAGGTTTGAATACTTTGCCACACTTATTCTAGTGAAGGCATTTCATTCGGGAAGAGGGAGGGAGTAATGTGGGAGAGCAGCATATAGACTGCTGAATTATTCATGTGCCCAGCCAAGGCTGTGACTGGACTGGTTGTGCTATTTGCATGCATCAGACATGCTGTTTGTCTGTTTGCTAACATTCCTCATTCAAAGACTTGTTAACTAGCAGACGGGCTTAGCTGGAGCCTTGCAGACAGCCTCATGGCCTCCTATTGTTTCAGGCCTCTCACCAGGCCTGGACCCAGCCAGTGGCAGGCGAGCCGTGCAGCCCTGAGCTTGGGGCTCAGACTGTGTGGCTGGAAGAGGGAGTGAGGCTGTAGCTGAGATTGAGGCTGGGGCTCAGGTTGGAGCAGGGGCTGAGGCACGGCTGTGAAAAGAGACAGTCTGAGGGAAATCGCTGGGTCTAGCAAGAACCACCGAACGGGAGCTTATGGCTTTCTCCTCTTCTTGACAGAGATGTGGATCAAAAGCGGGAAGAGCTGCCAAATTTCGCATCCTGTCCGGACATTTACCATCTTTGCTCTGAAAAATCGGTGAGTAATATCTGATTTAATGTGTGTGTGCTTGCATGGTTTCGATGCAAGTTTATTCGTGTGTTTACATCTAAGGCTTTCGATGTTTAACAGGCACACTGTGCAAATAAACATTTGTGCACAAAGTTTCTTTTTATTGAGTGCGCATTAATACGTCTGACTGTAAAATCCTACATGCTCATGTAGTTTGGGAACATATACAATAGCACATATACGAGCGACACCGCCATTCCTTTAACTTTAATAATACTTTTCCCTGCCCTCCATAGAACTGAGGTGTAATTTAGTAATGCAAAAACAGAAGTCATTGATAGCACTGTGATTGCTGCCAGGATAATCCCACGTCGTGGTAATCAGTGGATGAGCGGAAGGCCACGGTTGTGGAGGTATTTCATATGAGTGATGTGGTCCGGGCTTAGTATGTACTGTATAAAGAGAAGTACGTGGTGTACTGATCGTTTTGATTGCTTTAATGTTCTCAAAAGCTCGATTGTCAGCTAAATTTCAACGAGAACACCCTGCATTTCTCCGAATTTGAAGTTTTGCGGGCAGCATTTGCCGAGCTTGTATTTCGTTTTAGGAGACAGAAAAGAGAATAAATATAAAATAGTCCGTCGCTTCGCTATTTGCAGGATATTTGCCTTTCCACACCTAATTTTAATATTGATCGCATCGTTTCCTGAATTATCTGTGCATCTGCGCTTCTTTTAACACAGGATTTATGATTTGCATAGTAATATTTTGTGGCAAATGTGTACAAAGACTCCTGTCGAAATGCTTGTTTTATTATATTGATGCGTATGAAAACATCCCCTTGTTTTCCTTTGAAGGAGGAAAAAAACCTGAGCAATAAATCTGTGTATGCGTCACAGAACAATCCCACAAAATGACTGTGAGGTGACGAATTTCACTTCAGATAAGTTACTTTGGATCAAACATTAATTTAATTTGGCTTCTTTGGCTCTTTTTCAGATCCTTGGTAGTTAATTTTGTCAAATGAATGGAAAATGCAGGTTTCATTAGTGAATGAGACATTTATAAGGCAATTTACAATCCCCAGGTCTATTCATAACATTTAATTTGTAGTATTGCCTGCAAGGGGAACCAACCGTACACATAATAATCACTGTTTTGGAATTTCATTTTTTAAAACCTGACATTTATTAGCAGCTGATTCACAAAAGTCTTTAATTCTTCGTGCTTTGGTTTCCTCATGTCTGCTCAGATGCTCATCAGGCTTTATGTGAAAGGACACTTTTTGAAGGGCAAAGTCGACCCGATGTTTCTCAGAGCTTTCAGGTGATTCAGGTACAGCTTTTTCCATACATAGGTGATTATGTTCATTCATATGGATATAAGCTCTACTTAACTAGCAGTGGACACATGGTTTTTGGCTGGCAGAGTATCACACTACTCTACCCCTGAGGCCTTTTTGGCAGTGGATGGCAGGAGTCCAGGGGAAGGTTGCATGTTGAGAGGCAGATGGCAGGGTGGTGAGGGTTTGCAGTATTTTCGCTCTCTGTAAAAGTATACCTGACCAACCCAATAGCCTGGTGCAGGCCACAATGAGGCATTCTGTGCACTGAGGCAAACTTCAGCTTTACTGCAGCTACACAGCAAACACCGCAAGGCTGGATGGGACACACACACACACACACACACACACACGCAAATACAAGAACACAACCAAACGAACATATTCGTGTGTTTAATTTAATAATCTTCTTTGTGTACACTGTCAGATATTAATACTTGTGGTTCGACAGTGAACACATTTTTACACTCGTCAGTTTTCACTTTTAAAGTGTGTGTTCTTCGGCTTTATGAAACACCTCTATGAAAGGGTAAATTCTTCTAAACCTATATAACAACCAAACATGCCTTTTTAATAGACATAATCAGTCAATATATTTCACATATTTTCAAACATTTTTTTGAATACATATATTTCAAATACACGAGTGCGAATGTTTAATGAATACACTGCAAAAGAGGAGCTAAAGGAAAAACAGGCCACAGCTAGAACAACAAGTTCCCAAACTTGAACATATCTGTGGCCTTGAACTTGAATGTGAAATTCTTTATTTTTTTTTTTTTTCACTAAATGCGTTTTAAAACAGTATTTTCCGCAATTATATACTACTCACTGCAAAGTAGTGTAAGTTTGTTTTTTTTAAAGATGCTAGAAGCTTTTAACTGACAATACTTAATAACTTTTTAATGCATGTAGGTATGAACTAAAAAAAAAGAGCCTAAATGAGCACTCTGGAAATGGATTATATATTGTGTAGAATTACTGTTCTACAGTGTATATAATATTTGCAAGTAGTTAGTTTTATATGTAATTTAGACTTTAAAAAAAATACATAAACTATTTTTCATTTATGCTCAACCTCTGTGTGCTTTTTTAATTTGTTACTGGACGTGTGTTTCACTTTAAAATATTATGTAGTATATAAAGAGAGGAAAGGATTTAATGCTGCAAAATAATGTACTCCCTTATTTTTTCCGTATAGAATTAACTCTTTAAGAATTTTAAAAGTTTTGTCCGAAGAAGGAAGGGGGAATACTTTCTATACTTTATATAGCATGTGTCTAATATATAGAGGAAAATATAAAGCGTGAAATAAAAGTAAGAGTGTATGATACGATGAATGTTTTAGTGTAGAGGATACAATAATGCTGCATGAATACACAGCATCAGCATATTTTGCTCAGTGTGTGTGTGTGTGTGTGTGTGTGTGAGAGAGAGAGAGAGAATGCATGTACGCATGTGCGCGCTCGTGCATGTGTCCTCCACTTTTTTTAATCGATCGCTTGCTGGTGATTTTTGTAAATCGCTATTGATTTGAAAATATTGATGTTTTTTTTTCTAATAATATTCAGATTATTAAAAAATGGTTGACCTTTTTTCATCTGTGATAGCAAAACCACAAATCTAACAGGTGTCTCATTATTATTCTTCTTATTATAACTTCTAAAGGGGCACCATAAACCTTTTTTTATGTATTTATTTATTTAAAACCACAATTCCCAGTGTTTAGTTTTTTTTCTAACACATATCTAGTTATGCCTTTAGACTAGTGTAGAAAAAAGTATGCCAATGCATTTTTACTTTAGTAATTTAATTTCGTACGATCCCAACTGCTCCAAAATTAGCATTATTCATCACACTGTTACAAGCATAAAAGCTGTGTCAGTGCAGATAAGAAAAAAGAGCAACCTCATCTCACAAACTGCCATCCTGACATTTTGCCACATCTGACTTACCTAATATTAGATATCTTATTTCACAGAACATTAACACACAGGATGAACAGACGAGAACAATACAATTCAGCACTCTAATATTATCGTTTAGTTGTGTACTTGAAAGATGGTTTTGATCTGTAGATGACTCTTTGAATGAGATGTTTCCTGTCATAGCTTTTAATGGTCATGTGGTGTAGCAGCACTGTAAAGACTACTGTACATCTCCAGATCTGAGTAATCCTGCCAGATACGTTTTGAAGTGTTGAGTATGTGGTTTAGATCATGTGCCAGTGCTCAGTGTATTCACACTAGTGCAACACACAGCGAAAATGAGTCATTTACCAGTACAACACAGCAATAAGCCACCAATACACTGCTTCATTTGTTAAGTGGATAAATTGGTATTTAAGATTATGTGATTTTGTTTCATTTATGAGCTTGCTGTGATGTTGTGAATTCCATCCAATTTCCTCCTGGCTAATATGAAATCCAGATTGGAGTGGTGAATGGGGGCCAAGTGAGCACTCACTGTAAATATATTTTTTCTGCCATAATTATGGAGCCTCTTTTATTTCTCCCGCTAAAACGGGTATCAGTGTGCTGTTTTAAGTACAATAAAACTGAAAACCCCGGTGTAATTAAAGTTATATTGTATGTCTGAGCTCTGTGGAGGACTGTCAGGCTCAGGGATTTGATTGACATGCAGTGCTGCCTGGGCTGCCTGGGCTAAAAATGCATATGTGTAGTCCTGTGAGGGGATTTTGATGTCTTTAACAATTAAATTGAATTTTATTCTTTATAGTTTGAATCACAGGACAATGATACGGCGTGTGTTCATTGTTAAATATCTGATATATTTAAATTTAATTTTTTAGATATTTTATTGATATTTTCAAGTTAAAGAATGAGCTTTTTCTGATCACTGGACATTATTTTTACATGACCTACGAGGCCAGAAATGTACTATTTATTGTGGAAATCTTGCCGCAGCAGAAGCAGACGCATTTTCTAGTTCTTCAGTTTTCAAGTTAAAGTGCATAGATGCTCCCTGCATTTACTTACTCAGGAAATGAAGGATGCATAAAATAAAATTCGACGTGACATTATGCAGGTTGAAAATCTGTTCATATTGGATATGTCGACTCAGATTTAGGTCCAGTATTCACACTGACACATTCAAAGCAGTGGTGCAAAGCGCTGTGCAGCAGGTTAGCACCAGCAGGTCACTGCTTGTGGATTTGAATTTCCCACTTTGGCAGCCTCACACTTCAGAGGTCACAGTGCATTCTGCAAAAAAAAAAAAAACCTGTGAGACAGTCGCTTAGATTTTACAGTGCTTGTGTCAGTCACAGTAACGTCTGCTTCGGGCTTTTATTTAGCAGTTGTCAGTCAGAGGAAGAAGCGGTTCAAATCTCCCCGAGGTGAGCGACGGTGTAGTCAGATCGAGTCTCTGTGGTAGGAGCTGGCCAGTCTCCCTGTTGCCCTACTGTACTGTGAATGTGGGAGAGCAGATGAGTGGATCTACAGTGGCCACTACAGGCTGTGGCGCACTCACACAGCATAAGCACTACAGTACAGTAGGAAGTAGGCCAGGCCTGAAAAGAGAAGAGAGAGGCTGGACAAAGAGGCCCGAGACCCCGATACGCACACACACACACACACACATATACGGTACATTTCCAGGGTTGCAAGTTCCAAAATTATTGCACAAAAGCACAAATGTCAAGGCTCAGCAAGCCAAGTAATTACACACCCATATGCTGATGCACTCACACACATGTCACACTCGTGCACACACACACCAAAGTCTCTAAAACCTGCTTTTCCTGGTTTCTCTCGCCATACATGGAAGCCATTAGTCCATTACCCCGTTGACTACTGAGGATTGGGGGCCATTTTATTCTCCCTGTGTTAATCAGGATGTCAGCTGGGAGTGTCACATGTAATTTATCCACAAAACCACAGCAAGTCCGCAGAGACGGTGAGCACAGTCATAATGACATAATATTGGACTGGGGGAGAGTTTCGGGGGGTGACAGATGATGTAGATTTTCCTCCCCCTGTTCCTCCCCCTCTTTTCCTCCAGACGTTCTGAAATGAGACCTGTGCAACTTTCACCTTTACATCATGGGCCCTTTGGCTGATGTCAAAGTGTTGTGGGTTTTTATTTTCCACAATTTATTTACACAAGGGCGATTTTCTTACACGCTCTTAAAACAACTTCCTTCAAGGCAGAGCGATTCATATCATTAAAGCAGATGGAATATATAGAATCATTCAAATAAAAACTCAATGCTTTCTTTGCCTCTGGCCACTCAGTGTGTTCAGTGTGTGTTTGAGAGACTCTAGTCTACAGCGTCACGTGTGAGTGTCTCTCTGCACACATTGTCGGGATAGATCCTTGTTTTATGTACCTGCCAGGCAAAGCGATATTCCAGATAACGCTGAGCTGCGCCCACTCAACTTTTCTTTTCCAGCGCTCATATATTTCTTCAGCTTTTGGCCTCCGCTGTCGCCAAGGCAATTTAGTCAGCGAAAAAGTGCAGAATCGGCAAAATTGTTTCACTTGGAGGTAGAGTTGGAAGTGTTGAAAGGCCTCGCCTGCAACTCTCAGACTATCAAAATACTGTAAATCCCTTCCCTCACCTCACCTCCACTTCATCACTTTCTTACTGTTCGTCAGAGCCGAGCTGAATTATGTTGGCTGTGTTTGGCGATAAATACGAATCCAGTGGCTTGGGCTATCTTTGTGTTGCCTATTCTGGGACAGAAAAATTGATATTGAGTATCCATGTGCTTTGATATGTCTTTTACTGACCTGACTGCAGTTTCTACAGCTGTGGTGCTGATTTCTGCCGTGTAACTCTGCACTCCGCTCATGTTTATGTATTCAGGTTTCCTTGTTTACACTGCTGTGTAATGGTAGAGTGACCAAAAACTTCAGGGTTCAGAATCAAAGACTACACAAGTCATCCTTTCTAACAGAGAGCTTCAAAATGTCCGTTTAAATTAACAAAAGAAAATATTTTGTAACAGAGATCAGTTTAAAGAATGCATATAGTATACAGTATTGTGTTTTCCTGCAGCCGTCCATGTGGCAGAGACTAATATACTGTAGACTATCCCCTCTGCACATACTCGCCCAGGCTTCATGAGTCATCAACATGCATATACACACAAACAACACACACACACACTTGCACACAGAGTGCAGTGAGTGCACAGCTCGGGCATGAATCTCCCTCCATGGGCTGGAGGAGTTGGGTTACTCATGAGCCCATAAACATGTGCTGGCGGCGGTCCAAGGCACTGCACTGTAATTACAAACGTTAGAAACAATATATAAAAGACCCTTCCCCGGCAAGGCCGTGTCCTGCGCTGCAATTAGCGTCCTTGTACAGAATTATCACCCTTCAGCAGCCGCCACCACACTGAGCGGAGGCCTTTAATTGGCAGTGTCCTCCTTGGTCTGCTAGAGGACAACCCTCACGCAATCTGAGATTTGACTAATGATGACTAAATACCTCTGTTTTTCCTTTGTCCCATTTCACCTCCACACGATGGTACCCGGCATTGCACGCCCACGTACGCGCAGGATAGCGCGTGCACATGTCAAAAGCTGCCTCGTACATTAACGCCGCGCAGTCTGCACATGCCCTCATGTGTGAACGTGAACATACTGTGCTGCATGTGCAGAAAATCGCTTATTATGCTCACAAGTACACGCATAACGCACCACTTCACCCACGCACATGACACTGTGGGCTTTCGGTAATGCAGCATGCCAAAGTGTGTGTGCACGTATGCAGCGAGTGGGTGCTAGTGGGCAAGGCCAAGGCCACGGTGGAGCTCGTGTGTTGGTGTTGGGCGAGCATGCGGCAGTGAGAGTTGGCCGGTGCACAGGCCAGCAGAGAGGGTGCGGTGTGTTACATGTTCCACTAATGAGTTTCCTTGGCCAGGCAAGACTGTGGGGCGAGCTTATTAGTAAACAGGCTACAGAGAGGAGCCCCTACAGCCCTCTGCTGCTGCTGTGGCTGCTGCTGGCTGCTGTGGCTGCTGCTGGCTTCTCCAACCGATCACTCTCTCTGTTTCTGCTTCTCTCCATTGTTTTCTCTTCCTCTCTGTAAATTGTCGCTGCCTCCGACTCTACAATCCTCACTCTCTGTCTGTCTCTGTGTCTCTCTTGTAGGCAGTGAGATGGGTTTTGACTCCAGCCACAGGCACAAACAATTTGGCCAACAAGTGAAATCACGTACAGACAGACTGGCGATCGCAGCAGCATTGTAAGTACCATAATGTATTGTAAATTGAATATGTTGTTATTTAATGATGTATTGTAATGCGGTTGTATTGTCTTGCATTTCATTTAATGAGATGAAGGCTGTAATTAGATGCTGCGTAAGTTTCATTTGTCATATGCGTGGCATGAACCGCTCTGCCTACATTTATTTTCTTTCTCTTCCTGAGACGTATTACAATGTGAGCCTGCATTAGATTAAATCATAATGGCTGTGTATTGTGCCTTTATCCCATTTGAAAGGCCAAGTGGTCCCAATGGCTTGTTAGCTCAGTCGATTTAAAAAAACAAAAACAAACATAATCTTTAGTGCACATGCACAGAAAAACACTCGGGTGTAATCTTAATTGTCCACTAGGCATAGGAAGTCTTGACTCTTTCTGTGCTGGGGCCTGGATCTGTTAGAAAATGGCTTCCACTCTCTGCCTTCCAGCTCTCAGCTCCCCGCCGCCATTTTGTGTATCGCTGCCAAAGTAGTCAGGTAGCAGGATGAGAGGGACAGAGCAAAGTGGGGGAGAAAAAGTGGGTGCAACTGGATGCTGGGTCGAGGAGCGAATTAAAATAAACAGAGAGGAGTGGCAGGAGTTGGAGGAAAGAGTTGCTCCAAATGTGGACTGATAGAACACTTCATATGTCGTTTACTGATGGAGAGGGGTTTTTAATTGTTGCCGACTGACTGCATGCAAACAAGCAGCCTCCGCTCTGGACCCTTCCCAGCTCTTCCTCTCAAAGGGCTGACCTTGGGTGGACGCCACAAACGGTTCTTTTCCATTGGGGCAAATGTGCTGGCAGGGCCCACAGCTGCATGACCCCCTTCCACCCTCCATCAGTCCTCCCTCTTTCTCCTCCAGAGTCCCCAGCAGCCAGGCCCCCACAGTAACACAACCTGCCCGCTTATGGTGCTACAGATCCCGAGTGCAGCTTTAATCTCTGCTTATGTACCTGCCTCCACCCTAACCGTAGCACAATGTTAGCTGGAGCTTCAACCTTAAACTGTGCATGTATCATATGCACTCAGTAACCCCGGGCCCCACCCTACAACCTCTAGCTACTATAGCTAGCTGCCTGCGGCTCTGGAATCCTGTATGTGCCAGGCATTTGATTACATGTGCAGATGTTATTAAAATCCTCCTCTCATCTGATCCCAAGACCACAGATACTATATCAAGCCTTCAGTAGGTGTCTGCTGCTGCTTTTCTTTTGATCAGCCCGTTGCTTAACTGACAAATTGATGTGTCAGGAGTTGCTTTTGTCATTTGTGATTTTTGTCTTTTGGCTTCCATAAAAATGAAAGCGTTATCTCAACATGAGAGATGAAGCCCACTTTACTTTTGGGACTGTTTCAGTTTAAAAACCCAACATTCATCTGTTGCATACTTATTACATAACCCACCACACTCACAGGTAATGGGATTTGCCTCTACGTATTAAACAGTTCCTATTTTTCTCACTTTTAAAGTATTTTTTCTTGCTTGCTGTCACTAAACTTAGCTCATGGAAGCATCCTAAACAGGGACACACACACGATTTGTTAACTATTTTTTGTAAATTAACAGGTAAGCTGACCAGTGTGTCAACTTCCAGTGTGTAGGATTCAGTGGAATCTAGCAACTAGGATTGCAGATTGCGCCAAGCAAACTTCTTGTTAGGATTCCTTAAGTTTTTATTATTCAGGAGGTTTTTAGAGGGAGCCGAATTGACCGCAGAGGTCTCTTCCTCTCCAAAACAAACAGGCCAGGTGATTTAAACAGGTAAAAACAATGAATAAAGCAGTTTCATGTTAAAAGAGTTCAGAGTTTTTCAATGCTGTTTGGCTTGTAGTAGAGGGGCTGCTAAATTCGGTGTCCGTTCTGGGCTACTGTAGAAACATGGTGGTGTAACTCAGCAGACTCTGTGGACAAGGACCTGCTCCTTATGTAGCTATAAATGGCTCATTCTTAGTTAACAAAAACACAGCAATTCTTATTTTCAGATGATCATACACTATAGAAGAATGTATATTATATTCAATCTCTGCAAATATATCCCCCTAAATCCTCCACACTAGACCTTTAAAGAATGTAGAAGACGTCAACATGTATGCCTTCAGTTTTCATTTTTCAGGAGGGTTTTACAGCGAGCCGTATTGTCCGCAGAGGTCTCTTCCTCTCCAAAATAAACTGATTTAAACCAGTAAAATCACTGAATAAAGCAGTTTCACGTTAAAAATCAGTGTCTTTCCAATGCCGTTTGGCTCGTTGCAGAATGGGTGACACTAAAACACGAAAAAGCCAGTGTTTGGTTTGTCCGTTCTGGGCTACTGTAGAAACATGGCAGTGCAACTTGGCAGACTCCATTGGCAAAGACCTGCTCCCTATGTAGCTATAAACAGCTCATGCTAAGGTAACAAAAACACAGGTGATTGTACCCTAAAGAAAATAAACATATTATATTATATTCCATTCCTGCCAATATATCCCCCTAAATCCTACACACTGGACCTCTGAGGAATGTAAAAGCAGCAACATGTGTATGTTATATGTGTATGCACAGAAAACCTTGTCGTCAGTGGGGCAGAACATATTGACAGAACACACAGGAAAACAGCACAGGAGTGTATATCTGTGTACCATATCGGTTTATGGCTCGGAGCGATGCTGTATAAAGTCTCTCACTGTATCAGTGTGTATCTTTGCTGGCATGTATCTGATTTAGACTCTAGGTACAAAATATAGCAGAGGTCCCTCCAGCAGTAAGCCCTGGCCTATTTAGGCCTGTCACTGACAAGCTCTCATTGAGACAGACACACAGTCAATGGCTTTTGCTAACAGTTCAGAATGCACTCTGTCCCCTTTGGCTCCCCAGTCCTTAATCTGGCCATGTGTTTGCATATGGGACAGAGTGGCCTCCATATTGTGTTTGTGGAATGAATTATGAATGCTATTGCATAACTGTGGTCTGTTTCTGGGGCATATCTCTACAGCATCTACCCAGAGACCAAAGCATGAATACATTTACCCGGCCTAGACCTCTTGGAAATGATACTGTGAAGCTGGCCTGCCTGCGTTTGTTTATGGTTATATAGAGCAGATGGCCATGCAACATGGTCACATATCACACACTGGCTGCCGCGCTGGCACTGCCACACACACAAATGCTTATAGGCAGAAATGTAGGAGTATTTGAAGGGGATTCAAATCCACAGAAATTCATTCATTATTCTTTTATAACTCACAGAGGGAGAAGTATTAAATCTCTTTATCAGAGTACATTGCTATATTTTCTCCTTCGTGTTGGCAGCAGTCCTGGAACTATAGGCACTGGCGGTAATAACTGCTGCCAAATCAAGCTTTTCAATGCTAACTGTGGTTAACTGTGCTGTATTTACAGCCTTAGCTTTTAGCTGTAACTGCTAACCACTGAAGTGAGTCTGACTACAGCCAGCTGTAGCCTGGGGGTAACGAGCTCTTCAAGGTTACAAACTGCACAGATCCCTGTCTGCCTACTCCGGCCCGATGTCTGTCAGCTGAAGTTCATATCCAGGGAGAAAGGTATTTGTCCCACCCTCTAAATATAGCTGGCGACAGATGCAGCTCGATGGGGCACTGCCCAAGCTGAAAGGGGCCCCGCAGGCAGGCCAGAGCAGAGCTGGGCATGCAGACGTGTCAGGACTAAAGACTTCTCCTAATAGACGGGGGCCCTACAGGTCATCATCAGCCACATGGCAATGCACGTTTCACCAGCTTCCATTAGTGTGGAGTCACAAAGACTGAGCCTCTGGATCTTTACATGAGCAAAAAAAAAAAATACAATATTCAATGTATTTTTATTAGATGTGTTTAGCCATAGTGCATTGTGGGAAAATATCCCAAATCATTCAGCCAGAACAGCTGGAGTTTGTTGCTTTTGGCAGGAAAGCATCGCCTCCTAATAGACTTCATGGTAGTTTTAGTGCTTATGTGTCCTTGAATTTGATTAATGTGAAATATCAATTTGATCATAACCTTCTACAGGCTATTAACCTTATAACCCTAAAGTAGGACCGGCGCTGCTGCAGCAGCCATAGGCTGTATGCCGCTTCCACTGTACAAATTTGATCAAGACATAGATTTGTTTTTCTGCCTGTGGTTATAGCATGGAGAGCCATTCAAGCATGTGCAAAGATCTACTGATATAAGAAAATAATGGATAAAATGAAGGCAAAGAACACCTGAAAACGCATTTTTGCACCTATACCACTTATCAAAGACAAAAGATTCATTCTATATTTAAACATCTAATAATTAATATGGTAAGTGCTCTTGCTTTAATCATCAGTTTAAGCTATTAATGTAGTACAAGGCATCAGTGTTTTTTGTCTTTACAGTCTAATATAGGCTTCACTATCATGCACACTAAGTAGCACAATGATGGAAACTGTTAAAAGGCATCTGTATTTTGATATGCAATCGTAACAGACACCTGCCAAGCCTTCATAAACAAGTAGTTTTCCCTGTAGACCTTTCTATAGGCCTGCGCCCTGCTGTGCATCCTGCAGCCGTAGCGTGTATGTGTGCACACACGTGCGTGCAAGTGTGTGTATGTTTCTCTATGTACATGTGACTGTATACTGTGTGTGAGAGATGAGAAGCAGCTGGCAAGGTTTGGACTGAGTGGTCTGGGCGACCCCTGCTGCGTGCCCTGTCATTACAATGATTGGGGTCGTTTTTTACCTCTAAAGATGGGGCCAAGGGGCTGCACTGGGATCAGCTAACTCTGCCTAAGCCAGCCCTCTTCACCTGGCATGTTTATGGCTGTGCTGGGGGCTGGAGGGGTGGATGGGAGGGGGGTAAGTCACAGGGGCCGGTTCATCTCACAGCCTGACAGGCAGACACACATTATGCACATAGGCGCTAGTGTATATACACACTCTGTCACACATGTACATATGTAGATCACACAAACACAAAGCATACAGTATGCGTGTACTGATGCATGCCTGTAGCTTCACACACCCATAGACACACT